AACATGCTCAACATAGGCCACACGCACGGCCGAATATAACTTCTAAGCTAACTCACGAGCATGACCGAACAATTAACTTGAATATGATCTTACTAACTTAAAGAAGAGATCAATATAAGTATAACTTGACAATCGCTCGGTTAAAATGCATTCGGTATGGTGCTCGTGCGTTCACTAGTCTTGTCGTGCGTGTCTTGTAGCTTAAGCTTTCCGCGTGCGGCAACCTTTATACTTGAAGGAAACTCTCTTATTCTAAGTAACTTAGCTTATAATTAGGAGCATTAGAGACCAAAACTCTCCCCTAACTCCCAATATATATATAAACCGAATGGAGTAAAATGGGGAGATGAATAAATTGTTGGCTTAACCTCCTAATTCCACTTGCCCTCCTAAAAAACCTTGGATGCTAACTCATCCCTTAAAATTTGCTTAGTCATCAAATGACCCTCTCCATTGACGCCACCTCATGATTAGAAAGGAATAATCTCTCTAATTGCCAACTAAAATATGCCCACGGCATTTTGAGCAAAACTTTGTTAAATGCTACGGCATTTAAATTAGGGCAACATGATTAATACATAATTAAGCATAATCTTTATGCTTAATTAATTACTAAGCATGACACTTAACTTACAAATTTATTCCGAACGTAAACGAGACTTCGAAAATAATTTCGGATAATCTCGACTGAAATAATTAATTCCGAAAAATAATAATCGATAATATTATTATATCGGAACTAAATACATGATTTATATTATTAACATGACGGGATATTACAATCCTCCCTCCTTAAAAATTTCCGTCCTCGGAAATTCAAAACGCAACTGAATATACATGAACTATATACATGGAACATAAAAATATCAGAACTGAAAATCAGAAAAACGAGCGCGAATGTCAGCCTCCGACTCCCAAGTAGCTCCGTGGCGATCCCACTGAATACGAACGAGGGGGACATCTCGCTTCCGGAGCCGACGAACCTGACGGTCCAATACAACTACCGGTCGCTCCTCGTACGATAAGTCTGGTTGAATCTGAATATCTGTATGGGGAATGACATGATCGGGGTCGCACACGTACTTACGCAACATGGATGCGTGAAAAACATTATGAATACTGGATAGCTCGGGAGGTAAGGCCAATCGGTACGCGATTTCACCCACTCGCTCAAGAACTTCGAACGGGCCAATGAATCGAGGGTGCAGCTTCCCTCTCTTTCCGAATCGAACAACTCCGCGAAACGGACGAACTCTAAGAAAAGCTGGCTCGCCAACCTCGAACTGAATATTTCGTCGATGCTGATCGGCTGAGGATTTTTGTTGACTCTGATCTGTCTTGAGTCTCTGCTGGATCAACTCGACCTGATCTGCGGTTTCCTCGATCATCTTCGGACCGAGTACTCGACGCTCGCCGACGTCGTCCCAATAAAGTGGGGAACGACACTTACGACCGTAAAGTGCCTCGTAAGGAGCCATATGAATAGAAGAATGATAATTGTTGTTGTACGCGAACTCAACGTACGGCAACAACGACTCCCACTTAGCACCCCTGTCAACAACCAAAGCTCGCAACATATCCTCTAGCGTCTGAATTGTTCACTCGGACTGACCATCAGTCTCCGGATGGTAGGCTGAACTGAACTCTAGCTTCGTGCCCATCGCCTCGTGTAAACTCTGCCAGAATCTACTGGTGAATCTGGGGTCTCTGTCTGATACGATAGTAACAGGCACGCCGTGGAGTTGAACGATCCCATGGGTATACATCTCGGCCAACTTATCCAAAGACATCTTCATCGAAACGGGTAAGAAATGAGCAACCTTAGTCAATCTGTCGACCACGACCCAAATAGCATCGTGATGTTCAGACGACCTCGGTAACCCCATGACGAAATCCATCGTGACTTCCTCCCACTTCCACTTAGAATCGACAGTGGTTGTAGGAGGCCTATCAGACTCTTATGTTCGGCTTTGACTTGCTGACAGGTAAAACATCTCCTGACAAAATCGACAACGTCTTTCTTCATCCCTCGCCACCAAAACGACCCTTTCAGGTCATGATACATCTTCGTGCTTCTGGGATGGGCTAGATAAGGTGCGGTATGAGCCTCGGTCAATATCTCCTTCCGCAACGCCTCGACTTTCGGCACCACAATTCTACCTCTGAACTCCAAGGCACCATCGGTACCTTGCTGAAAACCCTCGACGCCTCCGGCACAAACCTTGGCATTCGTGACAGGAACGAACTCGTCAGAAGCCTGCTCCCGCCGGATTCTCTCTCTCAGCGTCGGCTGAATCTGCATGGCACTGACACTTCCCGAAACGGCTGTGGGAAGTGCATCAACTACCTGAATCTACATCCGGGCAAACTCCTGAATCAAATGACTCTGCTGAGTAACGACGTACGTCAAATCACCCTTCACCTTACGACTTAGGGCGTCAGCAACGATGTTCGCCTTTCCCGGATGATATTGAATTGAGCAATCGTAATCCTTGACGAACTCTAGCCAACGACGCTGCCTCATGTTAAGCTCCTTCTGAGTGAAAATGTACTGCAAGCTCTTATGATCGGTGAAAATCTCGCATCGACCGCCGTAAAGATAGTGTCGCCAAATCTTGAGAGCATGAACAACTGCGGCTAACTCCAAGTCGTGCGTCGGATAGTTCTGTTCATGCGGCTTAAGCTGGCGTGAAGCATATGCAACGACCTGGCCATCCTGCATGAGTACACATCCCAGACTCTGTTTCGAAGCATCACTGAAAATGGTGAAACTCCGAGAAGGATCGAGAATAGTCAACACCGGTGCTGAAGTTCATCTCTTCTTGAGCTCCTGAAAGCTCGACTCACAACGATCAGTCCACTCGAACTTCACAGACTTCCTCGTCAGCTGGGATAGTGGGAGAGCAATTTTGGAAAAGCCCTCGATAAACCTGCGATAGTAGCCAGCTAGACCGAGAAAACTGCGAACCTCGGACGGACTCTTCGGTGTCGACCAGTTCTGAACAGCTGAGACCTTGGAAGGATCTACCTCGATACCTGCCTGAGTAATGACATGACCCAGAAAGGCTACTCGCTGGAGCCAGAATTCGCATTTGGAGAATTTTGCATATAACTTTTCTCGTCTGAGGGTTTCGAGAACAACCCTCAGATGCTCCTCGTGCTCCTTCTGGCTCTTTGAGTAGATAAGAATATCGTCAATAAAAACAATAACGAAATGATCGAGGTAGGGATGGAAAATACGATTCATCAGGTCCATGAAAACCGCTGGAGCATTACTAAGGCCGAATGGCATGACGACACACTCATAATGGCCGTAACGAGTATGGAAAGCGGTCTTAGCAATATCTGACTCCTTGATTTTCAACTGATGGTAGCCTGATCGCAAATCTATCTTTGAGAAGACACAGGCTCCCCTCAACTGATTAAATAAATCGTCGATCCTGGAAAGCGGATACTTGTTCTTGATCGTCAACTGGTTAAGATCCTGGTAGTCGATACACATGTGCATGGAACTGTCCTTCTTCTTGACAAAGAGAACGGGTGCTCCCCAAGGTGACACGCTCGGTCGGATGAAACCGAGTCGTAATAACTCCTGGATTTGCGCCTTAAGCTCCTGCAACTCCTTCGGCGCCATACGATACGGGGCTTTGGATACTGGGTCGGCTCCTGGAATGAGATCGATAGAGAACTCTACCTGCCGGTTAGGCGGTCCTCCTGGAAGTTCGTCTGGGAACACGTCCACAAACTCACGAACGACTGGAACATCGTGAGGTGTTCGTGCTTTCTGAGAGTCATCGACAAGGCTCACGAGATAACCCTGACAATTGCCTCGTCGCAACATCTTGGTGGCTTTCGCCATCGAAACACATGAGGTAAGGAACGATTCTTGGTGCCAAAGAACGTAATCAAATCATCCCCCGGAAGATAAAGAGTAATCTCCCGGTCATGGCATCGAATGTCTGCATGATAATAGGATAGCCAATCCATTCCTAGAATGAGGTCAAAGTCCCTCATCTCGAGAACATACGCGTCGGTAGATAATACTCGGCCACCGATGGAAAGGCTGAGAACTGAAGCTTTAGCTGTGGTCACTATCTTTTGTCCCGAGGCTAAACTCACCTCGAGAGGATCGACAACGGAAATAGCATGAACTCCGATGGTATCAAGACATCGTCGTGAAATAAAAGAATGCGTTGCTCCAGTATCGAACAAAGCGAAAACAGGAACATTATTAAGCAAAAGCATCCCTGACATGGTACCTGGCTGCTGCTCTGCCTCGGCCTGATCAACTGCGTAAACTCGGGCCTGCTGTCTGCCCCTCTGCTGCTGCTGCTGGGGCGGCCTCTGAGCCTGCTGACGGGGCTGCTGCTGCTGCTGTTGTGGCTGCTGAGGCTGCTGAGGCTGTTGTGCTTTCTTTGGACAATGTTAGCAAAGTGTCCGGGCTCATGACAATAGTAACAGATATCCTGGCCAAAGCGACACTCGCCTCGGTGAAGTCGTCCGCAAGTGGGGCACGGTGGAACCTGCTGCTGCCTCTGGTGGGTCCTCCTGTCGGTCTGGGCACCCTTCCCCTTTCTCTTCTTCTCCTTCGTCGGCTGGGCAGCTGGTGGAGCTGTGGATGAGTGGGCGGGGGCAGATGGTTGAGAACGATCACGACTTGCCTCCCTCCGGATGCTAGCGTCCACCTCCTGAGCAATCGAAACAGCACGAGCATAGGTTTGGGTCCCGTGACCTACAATGTTGTGACGGACTGCTGGGTAAAGCCTGTCAATGAAGCGTTATGCCCTCTGTGCCTCTGTACGAACCAAATCTGGAACAAAAGTTGCAAGTCCAGTAAACTCCCTCTCGTACTCATCAACAGCACGAGTACCCTGCTTGAGCGACAGGAACTGACGCTCCATCTCTGCTCGGTAATATATGGGGTAGTACTTCTTGCGGATTAGCTCTTTGAGCCTCTCCTAGGTACAACTCTCTTTCTCGCCGGGACGCATGCTCCAGTAGGCATTCCACCAGAGTCGGGCATCACCGGTTAGCTGAAGCTGTGCGCATATAACGCGATAACGATTAGGATAGTCCATGACCTCGAAAATCAACTCAAGGCCCTAAATCCACTCGTCCACAATACGGGGATCTCCCTGACCGGAGAATTTCTCAGCATGATAGTCGCGAAACTGTGCGACTATAGTGGCCTGGGGAAGAACCGGACGATCGGGTTCCCTACGGGGCGACATCTGATCATTGAAAAAGTTCAACATTATTGAACACATGTAAAATACTCTAACTGATTACTAAAGTACACAGATCTCTTGACGGGTTGCCAAGCATGGCTGAAAAATACTGACATTAATCCTGAGGAAATCTAGAGTTATATCTGAGTACACTGAGCTATAAGTCTGAACCTGATTCGAGCATCTTAACTAAGTCATGATTAATAAATTTCTGAGCATAGACAAAGTAATAAGTTTATAACTTAAGAACATAAATTAGCACTTACCTGTAGTCGGCGAGGCGTGAGCGTGACGGTTCAGGTTTTTCCAAAATTTCTGACTTATAAAACTCTTTCATAGACGCAGAAACGTGCTCTGGTACCAATTGTAACACCCCGCCTTTTCATGAATTTCAGAGCGCGCTTTTCGCAATTTTTCTAATAAAAATAAATAAACTATTTCTTTTTGCGAAAATTTATTCGGAGTGTTACCGTAAAATCTGTCTTATTCTGAATACCGTTAATTTCTGAGTTTAATACTCAAACGGTTATACAATATTTTAACCGACTAACGTCGGGTCAAAAGCTGATTTAGAGTACTGAAAATAGTAGCGGAATTATAGTGAACCAAACATAATATATACATATAAACAAAAGTCGTGAATCCGTTGCCCGCTCACTCCTCGGCTCTGACTCTGAGACCTGAAAAACATGAATAACGTGGGGGCGTGAGCACTAAAACACTGTGCTCCGCAGAAACTCATACTAAAGTAAACAGTGAATATAATAACAATATCATGATCCTTACATATATAACTGAACTGAATCTGAAACTGAAACTGATAACTGATACCGGTACTGAATAATCTGATACTGATCTCGTGATATACATCACCTGACTGATAACTAAACATCTGCCGGTATAGCCGGAACCATGTGCACACTCTAGTGGGCAGATTAAGGCCACTAGAACCCGGAATGCACCGACGATCATTCCGAGCGGATACTGATAATACATACCTCAAACATGGTAGCGTAATTATAATCAATGTAGTACTTAGTCTGAGTCCCCACCTGATCCGTGAAATGAAAAGGTAGTGCT